GGTTCTGGATAGTTTCTGGTAGAATTCCCAGTAAGAGAATAGAAATTCTTACTTGATATTGGCACTCGGAGAGTCCAAGTAGAACAGGAGGGCCTTCCCGACGTCTGATACTAACTCTTGGCTTTCGCTGGTACTAACTTCAGTTTTCTCAGGAACTCACTCTTTGGCTTCCTCGGAGACCATTACTGTTTTTGATATTTAGTAATGACCTCTGTTGAATGTGAACGCCTTTGCTTTGCTGACGACCTAAACATTTATTCGCAGATAAATACTCCTGATGATTGTATCAAGCTACAACACCAATTAAATTTTGTGATGTCTCTGTGTGTAGAAAAACAGTTGGAGCTTAATGTGGGGAAGTGTAAAATAGTCAGCTATACCAGGAAAATTAATGTTTGCGAATATCCGTACTCTATTGATGGGTCTGTGATAGAAAGATGCTCTGATGTAAGTGATTTAGGTATAATCTATGATAAAAAGTTAACTTTTAGTCAGCATATAAATAAAAAAGCATCAGAAGCATTGGCGGCTTATGGTTTCATAGTAAGGAATTGCAGGAATTTTCATAACATAAAGTCTATTATGCTTATGTTCGATCCAAAGTCGAATATTGTAGTATTATTTGGAGCCCTTACTATGAATGCTATAGCACATCTATTGAAAGAGTACAACGGAAGTTTATGGAGTTTGTTCTGTTTAGGATTGATGGGACATATCCAGAGAGAGGTACAAGTAATTAGGAACTATGTAGTCGCTTAGACATGTTGACTTTGAAAAAACGTCGGTACTGTGCCTCAATGATATTTGGCTACAAAATGATCAACAATTTAATTGATTGCCCCTTGATCCTGGAACAAATCAAGTTTCGTACTCCAACGTTTGCATCTCGCAATCACAAAATATTCGGGCTTAATAAAGCTAGGACAAACATTCTTCTCAAGTCACCGTTATATGTAATGTGCTCTAACTTAAACAGAATTGGATGTTACTGTGACATATTTACGACAAATGTTAATTACCTGCTAAAGGCAGCTAAGGCTTATTCGGACCAATAGCTCATGTTACAAATTTATACCTGTGTTGCATTTGTTGTTTTCTTTTCGCTTTTTTTTGCTTTTATATTATGTTTATAAATTGTCCTATAAATGGGAAACTGTTGGACAATAAAGCTATTATTATTATTATTATTAATATAGGCGGCATGTCCTTGTCTCTCGTACTGGTGAGGAGGTGTAGTTGTAATACGGTTCATCTACGTTTATTATTAATAATCAAGTCATATTCTGTATTTCAAGATTCACGTCAAAAAGACAGCACGGCAATGCTAGAGCTCGTCCAATAAGGGCTGTGAAGGCAAACGCATATACCAAAGTCGCGAAACGGGGCTTCATCGAGGCGTTCTTGCTAACCCTGTTATTAAGAGCACTTCAAAGGGCTTAAAACCACTGAGTCTTTAGTTCGTTCCGTTACAGCGTGCTAAGAGTCATTGATCTTTGATGGTGACAGAAGTGTTTGAGTTTCATACCCTTGCTTGGAAACGGATTCCTTGTGACAATATTTTCATTATCTTTTGTCGTGAAAGCAGTAGCGTACAGCGCTTTCCTACTTGGGGGTTAGTTACACCTATCAATAATAGAGAGGAATAGATAATATTTTGAATATTAACTCCACAAACGCGGTATTGGAAAGTTCATCTTCATGGCATGGAGGAAAACAATAGTATCCTTTTAATTTTAGTCTAACTTATTGTACAGGGTGGCCAATACACAGGGTGTTCCTTAATGGAAAATGGAAGTTAATTAATATTTTCAGAACCGATTCAGATATTTCACTGATATTTAGTACGTAGTGGAAGTTAATAAAGTTGCATATTTTTCAAATCAAAAATGTTAACTTCGGAAAAACTTATGAATTTTTAAAATCAGTGAGGAACTTTTGGCCCACCCTGTAGATAATAATCATTCTGTTGCTCATGGAATTAACTTTTTAGGAGGAGGTGAAAAACGGTCGTGCCAGTCCTCTTTCCTTTTGGAATGTTGTCGTTTTTATATTTTATATGTAAGTTATGTACCAGTCTATAGAGAAGAAGATGCTGAACAAGGACTTTTGCTTCCACGTTCCTTTCTTATCAGTTTCAGTATTGTATTTCATTTGTTCTTTACTTTGGTTTGTATAATGCACTTTGCAGTCAGTCTCGATTCAGAACTCATTCAACTAACATCGTTGTATTTGGTTTTTCTCAAAAATAAATCTTTTTTAAAAACGTTTTCGTTGAAGAAAGATATTTGAGTTATATCCAGGGTGACTTCGAAGTTGAGCCATTTATTTTAACAGTGAGTAGATCTGATCAAAAGAAATGTTTTTTTCCTTTACCATTTTTCTGGTAAAATTAAAGTAACAAAGTTATAGCCCTTTGGAGGTTTGAGTACCGCCCTGTCTCAATAATAATATTATGTGCTCGTGTTTGGCGACAACGGATATAATCCGCCGTATCGATTCATCGCATCAGAAACAAAAAAGCGAAAGAATTTGGAACGATGTTTTTACAATTATTTTATTCATTTGTATACAGTCAGTGTCAGTGAATAGTGGTGTCTGTTGCGTGGCTCAAACGAAATAAAAAATGCCACATGTTTATGCGGATCGGTTTCCCAATCGAGTGCAACCAACCCCTCGTGCCTTTGTTAATGTAGTACAACGGGCTCGTGAATCAGGTGACGGCATGCCGGTGCTCCAAGACCTCACGATCAAATACAGGTCCGCAAATACTTGTCGGGAGGATACTTTATAAAACAAGGTAAAATTTTTTTTAATTTTTTTTTATTTTTCCACACATATTTGGGTTTATCTTCCTTCTACAATCATTATCTGAAAATTAATGACTCAACTTCAAAGTCACCCTGTATATACTAAGTGATATATAAATCCGAACACCCAGTTTAAATGGTTTTATTTTAATAAAATTTTCTATAAGTACTTAATGAAGCATAATAAGTAAATGATAAAAATTTCAAAATTATTGCACTGCTTTAAAGCCCTTTGACCTTTAATAATGTGTGGATGCACCCTGATGTGCTACGCATTCTCCAACGCGCCTAGGCATGCTTCTGATCAGGTGGTCAATGTCCTCCTGTGGTATCTCATTCCAGGCAACCACCAACTCCTCTCGAAGTGCTTCTAGAGTCTGAGGAGGACGTTGCAAATTGAGCAATCTCCTACCCATCATATCCCACACGTGCTCAATTGGGGATAAGTCGGAAAATCTTGGTGGCCATGGTAACAATGTGACATCATTATGTTGAAAGAAGTCTATTGTGACTCTTGCAACAAGTGGTCGGGCATTATCTTGTTGGAAAGTTGGATCTGCCAGGGTGTCAAGATAGGGTAAAAGATGGGGTTCTAGAACTTCGTGGATATAACGCTGCGCGTTCATGTTACCTCTGATGAAGATTAAAGGTGACCTAGAACCATAAGCTATAGCACCCCAAACCATAACTCCAACAGTGTGATGAACATGTCTTTCAACAAAAAACTGTGGATTCCTCCTTTCACCACGTCGCCTTCAAACCCTGGCACGACCATCGTGCATGCCTAAACAAAATCGAGACTGGTCACTAAAGACAATACTGTTCCATTCTTGATCCCAGAGTGACCGTTGTCTGCACCACTCAAGGCGATTACGTCGGTGTTCTCGAGTTAAAGGGAGGACCCAGTGTGGCCGGTATGAAAACAAGCCAAAACTTCTCATTCGTCGGTAAACACTTCGTATGCCAATAGGTCTTCCGTGTTCTGCAAACCATTTATTTGCAATGGACCTGGCAGTGGGGAAACGGTCCCTTAAGGCCAATAATCTTAGGCGGCGATCTTCACGGTCTGTTGTTCTACGGCGGCGTCCAGTGCCCCTTGCTCTTTGCGTACGGCCTTCTCGAAGCCATGCCTGACAACACCTAACCAGTGTCTATACTTCTTTGCACTCTAACTGCAATTGGCCGAAAAGAACCCACTATACGGCCTCTATCAAACTCACTAAGTTGACGAAATCGTACAGGTCTCCGTACTCTAGGCATCGTAACCGATCGTAAAGGATGTCAAGAACCAAAATCCGACAACGTTGATTCTTTACTGCGGCTGAAATATTCATTTTTAGAGCGTTAGTGAATTAAAAAAACGCAGTATAAAAACCGGAATGTCCAACTGTTAAGGCTGAAAGTTGTTTCACTTGTTATTTATAGTAAGATAAATACATTCACCAACTTTTATTAAAATAAAATCATTTAAACTGGGTGTTCGGATTTATATGTCACGTAGTATACATTCGAATAAAAATTATTATTTATTATTATTATCATCATTATTATTATTATTTGCACAGAGTTCAGAAGATTTTTAAAAAATGGCATCAAGCAGGTTGACTCTATTTTTTTTTTCTATTAAAAAGTTTGACATGGGAGCTTAGTCACGCTATTTTTAATGAACAGATTGTTGTGGCCATCCATCGAACTTGATGCATGGTGCCGAGCGGTCGAGCCTTATTTGTTTTCTGTGTATCTCTGCCAAGGAATATTACTGAAAGTTCTATTAATTCTCGATATTCGTCTCTAGCAACTTCTTTGGCTGAATTCCTGTCGATAAAATTTTATGTTTGAATCCAGATGACTCATCTCAGCTGCAATGTTTCCAGACCTCAGACTAAAAATATAAATAGACAAATAATTCCCTACAAAATATCGTCGTCAACATAACTGTATTTACGGTAAACAAATATATGCGACGCTGCCACTTCTCCATACTGAAAAATCTATTGAAAATGGAATGAGATATTGGTGTGCACTCCGCCCGAAATGAAGGTGGACTTAAATAAGGTGTGGACGCTCCGGTCGATCGTGGGTCGATCAAACAACTGCTCCTAGGCAGTTGTCAACGTCAATTAAAATTTTAAAAATTTATTTTTTCTTTTCATATTTGTTTATACTCGCAAAAACGGTCACAGAGGTGGCCGACACGCCGTAAATTCAATTCAAAAGGATGCAGGTTCATGTTGGGTAATTCACAGCGGACATTACATATAATATCTTGCCCAGTCAGTTGTTTGACTGGATTTGTTCCACCTTGGACGAAACTTGCTCTCATTCGAAAGTAGCACATTTCTACCGACTTTTTGCCGAACGTGGCAACGGTGTTCAACGGCAAGTGGTGGATGCGTACACAGAATTTACAAACATCTGGTGTTTGTTGTTGTGCACAGTGAATTTATTGCGAGTATTCAAAAGTGTTTTCAGGTTGTTTTAGCGGCAATTATAGCATTGTTATCATTGATAGACAATTTTCAAAGACAATGGGACGTCGGAAGTGCATTCTTTGTGGAGTTAGCAGTGAAAAAACTGAGACAACCTTCCACAGGTGAGTTAGAGGTTAGGGGAGGACAAGGGCGTAGCGCATGGGGATGCGTTGTGATTTTTAGTATTAAGAAATAGACATTTTATAGTTATTGGTTGTTTTTACACTGTATGTGTGGAGATTTTCAAAAAATACTCTTCTGTTAGACACGTTTTTGATCTTTCAGGTTTCCTAGTGATAAGAAAAAACAAGAAGAATGGTGCACTATCCTCAATATTGAGATAAATGATTTACCACTTCATGCCTTTATTTGCGCAAATCATTTTCACAAAAGTGATTTAATAGACGGCAAAAGAACTCAACTAAAGCATTCAGCAGTTCCATCAGTAGAGCCTTTAAGGCAAACAGAGTAAGTCCTTAATTATATTTAGCTATTAGATGAAATGGAATATTTTGTTGCTATACTTTTACTTATCTACTTTAAAGTGATTCCAGTGATGAGGAGAATGAAATCAATCTTGCCCAGGAAATTGCCCTAAGCCATTCAAATAGCGAACAACTGGAAAGCAGGGATCTACCTAGGTATGAAATTAAATAATCTCCAAAGTATCTAGAAGTTTGAATATTGAAGTGTTTACAGAGAACAAATAAAGTCACCAGAAGTAGCAACAGAAAGGGTATGTGAATACAGTTTTCCTGAACAAGATCGAACAACAGATAGTGTCACCCTATCAGCTTCGTTGTCAGGCACCCAGTCATTATCTGAATCCGCTACATTAAGTGCTTCACAATCAGGTACTGGAAGTATCCCAGTGACACCACAGTCCCGTACCCATGCCTCAGAATTAGATATGATGTACGTACCTATCTACTTTTATTTTCAAGTTCAGCCAGCTAATATCAGTCTTTATTTTAGTGCATTGTATCTTCATTATTTCAGGATTTTAAACACATTCATAGAAGCAAAAGGTGACAATGAGGAAGATAACCTCAAAGAAAATGATAGTGATGGTGAACCTCCACGGAACTGGTATTAAGCTTTTATTTTGATTCTTCAAGTATAGTCTGGTGGTGATTAAACCTGAAGTAAAGCTAAGTTAAGCTTTGAATGTTTCAGAATGAAAACAAAACCTATTCGATACTTCGGCGATATACGTTATACTGATTTGGAAAACCCACTTAAAAGGCCAATTTGCTGGAAAATCATTCAAAACACGTATAAGAAACAAAGAAAGACAATTGACTGTTTACAAGCCAAAACAAGAAGACAAGCAAACAAAATTTGGTCTCTTCAAGCATTGACAAACCATTTGAAGCGAATAAATATGATATCGGAGAATGCTCAACACATGCTTGATGTAAGTGATTACATGTTTATTTTTTGATTGTTGTTAAAAATCCTCATTTCTCAGGGCTCCATTGCAGAAGACATTTTCAACAAAATTCAAAGAGGCCGAAAAAAAGAAAAATATAGTGCAGAACTGCGTCGCTAAATGGCTAAAATGGCTATCAGAGTCTACAGAGTACGCTAAATCCCCAAGTATATCGTTTACCGTTATGTATAAAACGATTTATAATCCAACTTGAGCTCCACAATAAATGTAGTCTCAAAATCTTCCTAAACAATATTTCATAGAGGGTTGACCAAACAGACTATTGTACAATATGCAATACTCGAAAGACCGAATCTTTAGGCCATCTCCTCTTGGAATGTCCATTATACAATCCATTGAGAGAGCATATTCTGTCAGATCGTTTGAACCAAATCTGTGTCTTTGCTTGCCTAAATAAAACGAATGAGTTCAATTTATGATACAAACTTTTTAAATACTTTAGGGAACTATTTAAGCTAAGATCTTTCTTAAGGAATGAATAGTTTTTTTGTGCGTTCAATATTAAAACAGAATATTTAAATTGATGCGTCAATTATTTATTCTTTTTCTGTTTGTTTATATATTTTTTTTATATACAACTTTTGATCATGGATTCTATCATTTTCTTACTATTTTTTTTTTGTATTCATACTCTGGACAGGAAATTTTCTACTCAATTCTTATTATTTACATAATACTCTCTCTCTTGTTTATATACCTTTGTACTAGGTATTATGAAACAATAAACCTGATAATTAAGTTCCAATAATAAAACCTTGTTTACTTCTCTGTTTATTCTTTTCACTGCCATGGAAGGTGATACTGGGTGTATTAACCAGAACACCATTACAAAAAAGCACCTACGCCACTGGTGGAATCAGCTGTGATCTGCACATACACAGCTTATTGTTTGTATTTGTTTTGAATTGGGTTTGTTTGTCTTCATGCATTACAGTGCCGTAAGAATGGTAAGTCTATTTATATTTTTAGTCTGAGTTCCAGACTCCCAATCATTAACATTTCTGATCAACCTTTATCTTAATTTTCTTGTATGACTCACGTTATTCCTAAGGTTCAGTTGTTATGATCCCCGAAGGACATTCTTCCTTACAATTGAATGCAAATAGGTTTTGTTTATACAGAAATTTGGTATCCTGTTTTGCTGTCATGCATCATTCACTCGAACTTAATGAATTTCGATAAATCAGCATAGCGGGTAAACAAAAATACCGGAAGGCGTTGAATCGTTTTTAACGTACGCTGCGGTTAAAAGCGACAGTAAAGGTGCACTACGTGCCAATCTCACCAACATTAATAGTTTACTTGAAACGCAATTTGACGGAAGCTGTCAAAGCTCTCCGAATATCAGTGATTTCTATTGAAATATTAAATAAAGTTTCATAGAATTTAAAATTTGTATTATTTCGAAAAAGACGGTCAGTTATTTAAATGGAGAAATAATAGTTCGATTTTCTAGCTATTATATTTAGTAGGATGTTTTCACTGTTTTTGATGACTGTTCATGCATGGCAATCTAGTTTTGTATGTATATCAGGTACAGGGTGTTGTATATAATACGTACCTCTAGAAATATACCGATTTTTGTTATTTTGCAAAAAAAGGGATATAAAACGTATTCCAACCGCTTCATCTTTTGTTATATCAAAAGCATTTTTTGCCAAATTTATGATCTAGAAATCCACACCAAATGTAAACAAATAGCACATTCTGCATTTCTGGGTCCTAAAACATCGATATTTGTAAAAGTTTCCCTATTATTTATCGTCTAGATATTATAAGTCACAATCAAAGATACCTATTTATGAAAATATAACTCCAAACATTGTTATATTTTCTTGCTATTTCTATTATTATAACACTGGGATATCAATTACTTTTAGAGTGATCTGCACACAAATATTATATTTATTATATGTAATTTCCTAATATTCAATAAGCTGGTGATGTCTCAATGACAAGCTTTTGTTTTCAACATTTCGTAGCTACTGGTTGCTAAAATTTGTTGATTGGAACTTATAACTGTTGATTTAACAATCCTGATGAAATCCACACTACATGCAGCAAATAATTTCGTATATATTTCCATATCCTGATATTTCATGACGAAGTTTGAGTGATGAATCATTGAATGCATGCAAAAAAATATAAGTAACACGTGTACTCTCGGTGTGGCTGGGTAGGCGTTCGCAATGTAGGAAAAAATGTAATCATGTCATTGTGAAATTCGTCGAATATTTTTGTTGCTACTATCATTGCATTCGTTGTTAATGAGAGATTACGCGGAATCGCATACTATACGGGACAATATGCTGTTTAAAACCCACGTATCCCTGCTGACCTATAGCTCTGCTTTTTGTTATAAGTAGGGTGATTAAATGGGGAAAGCTTTTGGACTACCTCGAACGTTACAGCTTGATTAGCGACAAGCAGTATGGTCCCTGCACCAGCGATCTACAGCAGACCTCACGCAATTGTGGAGTGAACTCTTATGGTGAGTGTCATGTCGTTGCTCTTGATATCACGAAAGCGTTCGATCAGCTGTGGCACGCTGCCCTTTTATGCAAATTTCCATTCTATGAGAAGCTTTGGAGATCATTCGTCATAATTGAAGGGTTCCCCTCTTCATCCCATAACGTCAGCACGGGTGTTCCCCAGGGACTGGTCTTGGCTCCGGCGCTGTTCCTCTCACATATCAACGACCTCCTTCATGGCAGTTGCATCAGTACGGAAAAGATCGGACTTCAACACTGGGACCTGCAAAACGCGAATACAAAGTCGCTTAAATAGGCGAAGGCAATTGGGCGGAGATTCACCCAATAGCGGAGCGAATGTTGCTGAGCAAGGTATAGAAGAGCAATAACAGAACAAGTACCCAACAATAGTTTTCTACCTTAATGATCTCTAACTTAAGGTGTTTCCTCGCCTAACGAAACACCCCATGTGAAGCACTACTACTTGATACAATTTTTCTGCATCCCCTAATATGGATTAACCTTTCTACTTCCAGACATTGTATGCGATTTCTAGTCCCTACAAATATTCAGACGAAGCGGAGATCCATCGCGAAACGAAGGAAGAGAAATCGCTTGGGAAATCATCCGATGCACAAGAATACAGTGTATAAGCGTTTGGCGCTACAAAATAGCCATGACCGCGAGCTCTGAAGGCGCAAGGAAGGTGCAAGTTAATAGCGTTGAGATGCACCTTTTGTATCGAGTACAATAGGGTAAAAAATGAAAGTTCTTTTTTCAAATGTGTAGGCTCTAATTTTGCTTGAACAATGTCAAAACAGTTGTAAATAAAGTCAGGGTGGGTCATAAAGGTGTTGGCAATTTCAATATTCAATTAAAAAGTAACTACGCAATATACAAGAAAAATAAATGGATTTTTAAAAAGTAGAAAGATAGGAATTTTTAATTACTTAAAAATAGTGTTGTTCGGCTGCTTGGAACTCTTGAAACCGAAGCTTCATCTTCTTCCAACTTTTCGTCTTCTTCACCTTACGTTTTCTCCACCAAACTACTGCTGATACCTTCAGACGAAGCCCTGACGACTTTTCCACGCCCTGCCCTGTAATGAGAGTTCCAGGCAACCCCTGAGGAAGGGAGCTGATTCAGCTGTTGCCAAAGTCCACAGACGCCATGTGCTGAAACCCCGTCGAACTGCATCTATACTAAGTGACATATAAATCCGAACACCCAGTTTAAATGGTTTTATTTTAATAAAAGCTGGTGAATGTATTTATCTTACTGTAAATAACAAGTGAAAAAATTTTCAGCCTTATCAGTTGGACATTCCGGTTTTTATACTGCTTTTTTTAAATTATAAAGGAAGGGAGCTGATTCAGCTGTTGCCAAAGTCCACAGACGCCATGTGCTGAAACCCCGTCGAACTGCATCTATACTAAGTGACATATAAATCCGAACACCCAGTTTAAATGGTTTTATTTTAATAAAAGCTGGTGAATGTATTTATCTTACTGTAAATAACAAGTGAAAAAATTTTCAGCCTTATCAGTTGGACATTCCGGTTTTTATACTGCTTTTTTTAAATTCACTAACGCTCTAAAAATGAATATTTCAGCCGCAGTAAAGAATCAACGTTGGCGGATTTTGGTTCTTCACATCCTATACGATCGGTTACGATGCCTAGAGTACGGAGACCTGTACGATTTCGTCAACTTAGTGAGTTTGATAGGGGCCGTATAGTGGGACTTCGGGAAGCTGGACTTTCTTTTCGGGCAATTGCAGTTAGAGTGCAAAGAAGTGTAGACACTGTGGTTAGGTGTTGTTAGGCATGGCTTCGAGAAGGCCGTACGCAAAGAGCAAGGGGCACTGGACGCCGTCGTAGAACAACAGACCGTGAAGATCGCCGCCTAAGATTATTGGCCTTAAGGGACCGTTTCTCCACTACCAGGTCCATTGCAAATGAATGGTTTGTAGAACACGGAAGACCTATTGGCATGCGAAGTGTTTACCAAGAATGAGAAGTTTTGGCTTATTTTCATACCGGCCACACTGGGTCCTCCCTTTAACTCGAGAGCACCGACGTAATCGCCTTGAGTGGTGCAGACAACGGTCACCCTGGGATCAGGAATGGAACAGTATGTCTTCAGTGACGAGTCTCGATTTTGTTTAGGCATGCACGATGGTCGTGCCAGGGTTAGAAGGCGACGTGGTGAAAGGAGGAATCCACAGTTTTTTGTTGAAAGACATGTTCATCACACTGTTGGAGTTATGGTTTGGCGTGCTATAGCTTATGGTTCCAGGTCACCTTTAATCTTCATCAGAGGTAACATGAACGCGCAGCGTTATATCCACGAAGTTCTAGAACCCCATCTTTTACCCTATCTTGATACCCTGGCAGATCCAACTTTCCAACAAGATAATGCCCGACCACATGTTGCAAGAGTCACAATAGACTTCTTTCAACATAATGATGTCACATTGTTACCATGGCCACCAAGATCTCCCGACTTATCCCCAATTGAGCACGTGTGGGATATGATGGGTAGGAGATTGCTCAATTTGCAACGTCCTCCTCAGACTCTAGAAGCACTTCGAGAGCTGTTGGTGGTTGCCTGGAATGAGATACCACAGGAGGACAT